CTTCGACTCGTGATTCGGCTAATACGAGCAGTAATGCGCCGATCAGCGCAAGATTGCGAAACAAGAATTGTATATCCCAAAGTATAGAGTAAGCTATTGTCTAGTTGAAATAACACAAATTTTAGGTAAATGTGGATACAACTATAATTATGCATGCATGCATGCACATATGTATTTGAGTGGCCTACCTGTAGCACTACGATGAAAAAGAGCAAACCCACAGCAATCTCGACTTTATACCTAGCAATAACCATAACACAGCCACCAAGTTGTCCAAACAAATTCACTAACACAAAAACTGTAGCCAAAAATTTGCCACAGCCCCAGCTCATATCCATATATTCACGTTGTTCGTTCCATTGGAAGTACATGCGTAAACCATCTTCGAAGAACGTCGCAATCAGACATAGACGAGCGACTGTAGGTAGGATATTTTTGCCGCGACGTATTACCTAAAACGTTAGAAAAAATCATAACTATGTGGGTACCAAAAGAAAAACAAATTTTAAATGTGCAGATTAGATTGGGTCTACAAACATATGTACATAAATACAGTAAACCCCGCCTTCCTTTGTATCACCACTTAACTTAAATTAGCTCAATTTCATCAGTTTTTGTTGCTCTATAGATATGGATACAGTTACATATCGACATCTCCAAACCATAATACCTACATACATACATACGTAAAACACAAGGAAGCACACTTTTTTATTCGCAATCTGGAGAAGTTCGTTTTCAAAAGCTTTAATTATGTTTAACCTGTGTGTAATCAATAAATTTTTAACCAACTTCCCGATAAGCTAGAGATTTGAAATTTCAAAGTGAATTAATCCTCTGGGTGGCGCAGGTGTCGAGATATTTGAAAAGGCTTATTTAAGATCAGATATGGTTCATATTTTGAATGTTTGTTATCTACATGAAGCGGAATAACTTCACAAAAAATTGCCCGATAGGTGGCGCTGGCGTCGATATATTTGGAAAACCCGTATTTATGGTCCATATAGTTCATATTAAGAGCTTAAATATATTATCTGAATAGAAAGAAATAACTCTACAGAACCGTTAGTTTTTGGGTCGGTCTGTTTTTTACCACTTAGAAAAACTTATTAAATTTTTTTATTCTTCTTATTCAAACCGAGTTCAACAAATCACGCCAGGCGGATTTTTTTATTACTTGTTTAGGCAGCTGAGCGAGCGCTGGGCGAAGACCCTGGAATGCAAGGTGGCAAAATCCTTCTGGCCACGGGTAGACCGCAAGCGGTCTGGGGAGCTCAAGCTATAGGTGTCCTCATTCTTCCTTAGCTGCCCCCTCTTTCCCTTATCCGCCCACCCCACTAAGGGCATCACAATACGACAGCTTAATCGAGTCCAAGTGTGCCTCCATATACGGAGGCATCCCGCTTACCTAACATAACTGGTTTTTGACAATTCTCTTTGCTGACATATAAAAGAAAATTGTCGAACATACTTTATATGGAAAAAACGTGAAACACCTTAAACAAAAAAAAAAAAACATTCTCAAAAATCAACGAAATTTTTTACCAACTTGAAAGTTGCACTTCTTTATGCTAGAATTAAATGGGCTACAAAACTGCATACCAATAATTTTTCTAAAGATTCTGATTAAAAGGTTTGAAATATTAGTGAAAATTTTCAGAATTTGTAGACTTTTATAAAAAAATAATAAACATTAAATAAAAGACAAATAGCCAAAACTGGTCAAAATATACCACTCCTATTATTTTGTTGACAACTGTACATATACAGTCAATCAATAAAGTTTAGGTACAGAGAGTTTTTTGCAATTTTTTTTTACGCACACCAAGATCTAAAGTGAGATAACTCAAAATTCATAAAGGGAAATTAAACTGCTTGTGGATAGTACAGATTCAACGCAATTTATACGAAAACAGGTATGTTGTTGTTGTTGTTGTAGCAGCATACAAATTCCCCAAAGACTTTTTGGGGAGTGTTGCTGGAGTGACAGTCCTTGGCCAGATATAAATCTGGGTGGTTCCGGTTACGTAGACCAGACTGCCGTGGGAACTCGAAAACAGGTATATAATGTTTTAGTTAAACTACCTTTGCAAGATATTTCTGAAATTTACCGTTATACCNCAAATTGCTTTTCCGTACCAAAGTTATTAATATTAAGGGCACCGAGTTTGGTAGAAATTTATAAATCGGTTACCGAGATACAAATTAGTGGTCATAAGTTGGCGGCACTAAGCCCATTATCCAAAAATTTATATTATTCAAATTTTCTGCTAAGTTGTTACCGATTTTTTGCAGCTTTCGTGTTTCTGTAAATTACCGATATATGGCAGGTGGGCGTAGTTATTGCCCGATTTCAAAGATTTTCAACAGATTTCTTGGATAGACCCTACATAAAGCAGAACGGTCAGCAGGTAGCTGATTATAGAAGTGAATTTGATAACGCGCTAAAGAAAAATTAGATGGAAATGAGGCAATTATTGCAAGCTGTATAAAGTAGCATTTGGAGAAAGAATTAAGGCGCATTGCTCAAGAGACAAGTGTAAAAAGTGTGGGTCACACAATTTCATAATAATATTATTTTTGACC